CTATTCTCTCTTTGTTTGCTTCTAATATTGGAAGGATTTTTACTTGTATATTGAAGTATTTAGGTAGCTTTTTAGTTTCATAATATGAAACTAAAATATACTTTTGTTTTATGTAAATTCAGTGTTGGAGAATTGTTGAGGTATTTTTCAAAAATATGTTTTTCTGTTACTGCATCATCTTCTCAGGAGACTTTTTTGGTAAGATGTGATGTAATTATTTGCAAATGGGCTTTTTTGATTCAGCTTCCAAGCAAGCATGGATATTCTGCCAATTAAATACTGTTTCATTCATATAATAGCATGGGTTGTATATATTAGTATAGTTTGCTTTAATAGATGCTTATGCCTTAATCATCATGAATTTGTAACCAGCATTACATTAGTGACTGTGCAGTGTCATATCTGTTGGATTATTAAAAAGCAGAAGTAATGCTAAATCACATCAGTAAGCAATATAAAGATTGTTAGTGTTTCATGCATTTCTCTTTGTCTCTGTTCCAACTTACTGCAACTGATGCAGCTAATTTCCTTTCATGAAATATAGTGACTTTTTAACATTTAAAAAGTTGCTTCTACTTTGATCATTGGTAGGACTGCTGATTTCTTTAACCTTTGACAGTTTGATTCCTTGTATTCAGTTATTTGACTTTTTATCTAAAAATGATACGCATTTATCCCTTACAAATCCATTAATGAGTGGTTGTGTTTTTTTTCATCTTTATTTCCTACATAATTTAAACTATTGCCAAATTTCTTACAAAGCTATGAAAAAAGTATCTGTGTCCTCTCCTCTATTTTTCTACCCTGACTTCAAAAAATTTAGTTGTGATCTCTAAATCTTCACACCTAATTGTAAAAACCAATTTAGCATGAGCACAAATTACTTAATCAAATAAGGTATCTGTCAAATTCAATTGTCATCTTTCCCTTTGAAACATATTTCCTATTTTATAGCGCTTGTGGCACTGTAGGATAAGCATTGGACTGCTGACCAAAAGATTGGTAGTTCAAACCCACCAACTGCTCATCGAAAACCCAATAAGGGTCACTATGAGTTCAGAACTGACTTAACAGCACTGAGCAATAACAGCAACAAACATCACTGGTGTGGCACTGTAGGATAAGCATTGGATTTCTAACTGCAAGGTCTGTAGTTTAAATCCAGCAGCCACTCTAAAACCCTATACAGAGTTACTATGAGTTGAATCTGACTCAGTAACACTTAACAACAACAGTAATCCCCATTTAGTCCCACAGTTTTTAAAAATAAAATGCTTAAAAAAGGTATTCCCCATTTCTAGATTTCTACTCTTCCCAATTTGTTTTTGGTGAAAGTGCTTTACTATATGTTTAAATAGAGGAATTTTATTTTGCTGTGTTTCAAGTTGCATTTTGTTCCATTCTGGCATCAGTAAAGGCCCTGCTTGCCATTTGGTCATCTCAATAGCAGAAGCAAATACCACTGTTTACAAAATGCCACTCACTGTGCCAAAATGTTTGCCTACATTTTCTAATTTAATCTTAGAGTAGTCTTGGGGGAGCATAGTAGTATTCTCATTTTACAGATGAGAATACCAAGGTCAAGAGAGAAAAAGAGATTTGCCTGAGGTCATTTGGCTAATAACCCAGGTTTGTCTGACACCAAAGCTTGCTCTTGATGAAATACTAATCTTTGCTTTCTTCCACACCGTCCTGCCTTTCCCTGTTCCTGGTCTCTTTTTCCTTTCCTTGTTTTGCTATTAACAGTTCCTTAGCAACTCTGTTGTCCCCGTCTTGCATAGTTTTTAAATCTGCCAGAATCCTATATTTTATCTCTAGCATACTAAGTTTTCCAATATAGCTCATTTTTAAGATTGTGCCCTAATTATTTCTTTGATAAAAGGTAAGTATTCTGTTAAAGTTCTGTTTGTATCTATAACAAGTACTGGGTAGAAGATTACATTATACTCAGTATAGATGGGAATTAATATTTTCTGGAAGGATTGGTTTTAAAATCACAGCTCTTACAGGTAGGTAGTATTTTGGTTGTTAATGCTGATATAAATCCTTTTGTCATTGCTTGACTGCTTTACCTAGAGCTATTTTATAATAAAGCTAATTTTTGAGTTATCTAAAACTCAAGCAACAGAATTGTGTTTCTTTTTATTTTTTCCCTCAGAATTTAGAGTTACCCTGGTAGCATAGTGGGTTATGAGCTGGTCTGCTAAACACAAGGTCAGCAGTTTGAATCTACCAGTCTCTCTTCGGGAGAAAGACAAATCTTTCTGTACCCGTAAAGATTTACAGCCTCAGAAACCCTATGCAGGGCCCCTATGACTCGGAATCAACTCCACAGCACACAACCACAATGTAAAAGTAAGCATTGATATCCTAGGCATTAGTGATCTGAAATCTCTGTCATCTGATGGAATACAAATGGAAATCTTTCAACAAACTGATGCAGCACTGGAGCCACTCACTCATTTAGAGATCCTGTTTGTGCCCATTCCAAAGATAGTGACCCACTGGAATGTGGGAATCATTAATATTAATATCATTAATATCACATGCAAGGAAAATTTTCATAAGGATAATTCAAAAACAGCTGTAGTAGTACATTGACAGGGAACTGCCAGAGGTTCAAACCAGATTGAGATGAGGACATGGAACAAGGGATGTCATTGCTGATGTTCGATGGATCTTAGCTTAATGCAGAGAATACCAGAAAGATATTTACCTGTGCATTATTGACTGTGCAAAGACTTTCAACTGTGTGGATCATGACAAGCTATGGATAACATTAGGAAGTATGATTATTCCGGAACACTTCATTGTGCTCATAAGGAACCTGTACATAGAACGAGAGGCAGTTGTTCAAACAGTAGCAGGGAACACTGAACGGTTTAAAATTATGAAAGATGTGCACAAAGATTATATTCTTTCACCATATGTATTCTATTCATATGCTGAAATAATAATCCAAGAAACTGGATTATATGAAGAAGAACATGGCATAAAAATTGGAGGAAAACTCATTAACAACATGCGATATGCAGGTGATACAATCCTGTTAACTAAAAGTGAAGAGGATCAAAGATGACCACAACCTTCCGTGATTACACCTCAATGTAAAAAAAACAAAAATCCTTACCACTGGACTAATAAATAACATCATCATAAATGGAGAAAATATTGAAGTTGTCAAAGACTTCATTTTATTTAGATTCGTTGTCACCCTTCATGGAAGCAGCAGTCAAGAAATCAAGTGAGATAAAGCATTAGGCAAATCTGCTGCATAAGACCTCTTAAAGTATTTAAGAGCAATGATGTCAGTTTAAAGACTAAGGTCATCCTGACCATAACCATGATATTTTAAATTGCCTTATATGCATGTGAAAGTTGGACAATGAATAAAGGACCATAGACAAATCAGTGTATTTGAAGTATGTTGTTGGTGAAGAATATTGAAAGTACCAAAGTCTGCCAGAAGAGCAAACAAACCTGTCTTGGAAGAAGTACATCTGGAGTGCTGCTTAGAAGCCAGCATGTGAGACTGCACCTCTAGTACTTTGGACATGTTGTCAGAAAGGACAGATCCCTGGAGAAGGACACCATGCATGGAAAAGTGGAAGGACAGCAATAAGATGGAAGGACCCCCAACAAGATGGATTGACACAGTGGGCTCAACAATTGTGTCTAACCATTGTGAGTATGGTGCAGGACTAGACAGTGTGAGCATAAGGTTGATATGAGTTGGAACTTAACTCAAATGCACCTAGCAATGAAACACTTGTAAAATATTTTAAAGAAAGAATATTTTGTTTGCTTAAGTATGGCCATTTAACTGATACTTATTCTTGAAACCTTTAAAGGGAGTTAATTTTAGTGCTTTCTGCCCTTGTTTTGGTGTTCTCCAGGGAACAGTCATATAATTAAAGTCGAATTAATATATCCTTAGAATAAAGTATGGAGACTATTTTTCGCCTATTTTCATTTCTTGTCCTTTTCTTTACCCTTTCTTTTTGTCACATACTATAGTTGTTCTTTGTTGCTAGTTATCTGTGCCATCTTCCTTATATCTTCTCCCTGTTCTTGCTGGTTTTGGCAGTTCAGTTCAGTACGTGTTTAGAGACTTTTTGATTTTTTCACTTCATCATGGCTTAGTTGCTACCTACAGATGCCTTATTTTCAGTTTTGGTGTAAACCGAACTCCATTCGTTGTCTAGAATGTTACCAAGATTTTCTGTTGAGAGAAAGAGATTGCCTTGCTCCAGTATGGCTGTGCTGTTTGGCTATATGATTATTTTGTTGTTGTTAAATGCCATCAAGTCAGTACTGACTCATAGCGACCCTGTATAGGGTGTCTACAGAGTAGCTGGTGGGTTTGAACTACTGTCCAGTGTTAACCTACAGTGCCATGCCACGGTCATCATGCTTAGTAGAGAGTCAGCAAAAAAAGAAGACCCTCTATGAGGATAGATTGACAGTGATTCCAACAATAGCTCAAATATAGCAATGATTGTGAAGATGCTGTGGGACCAGGGAATGTTTCTATTGTTATGTAGGGTGATTATGTGTGGGACTGACTCAAGGGAACCTAAGAGCAACAAGAATACCACTATTAGTGTCTGCTGAAGAGGAAAATATCAAAGCTTCCCTAAATGCTCAGATTCAATTTCTCTATTGAAACTATGGAATATAATTGTTAAAATCATCTTTTATTGTTGTTGTGTGTTGTTGAGTTGGTTCTGACTCAGTGACCCTGTATAGAGTTTCCAAGAACTGCTGGTATGTTTGAACTGCTAACCTTGCAGTTAGTGTGGTTAGCAGTCCAGTGCTTATCCTACAGTGCCCATAATTACAGATGTCCTATTTATTTAAAATTGCTGTAATATTGTAATTTAATTTTCCGAATCACTGCTTTGAATTGGTTCTTTTATGCCTAAGTGCACAGAGAACAGAAGTGTTTAATTATTGAGTACCTTAAATGCTATGAAGTGATATGTGGCCTTCTTTTGAAGTGATGGAGGCCTGAGCCAATCACAGGATGACAGCATTGTGGGGACAAGACACTGTAGACACAGTCTGGCTATAATGCCAATTCCTGGAACACTTTCATCCAGCAGTCCAGATCTCCTGCAGCCTACCACCAGCATGCTGGATTTCACTAATCCTTCAGGTAATTTCTGTATATGATTTTTAGTTGGCCATATTGGTCTAAATGGAAAAAAAATTAGTCTTCCACAGCAAAAACTAGCTTTGTATGCAGCCTTCTTCTAGATATGAATTTTATTCAGCGAGCAAAAGGGAAGATTATGTTGGGTAATCTCAGATAAAATGATACTTCCTCTAAAATGAAATGAAAATAATATAGGCTGCCCCTAACTACAGATTTAGCAATCTTAATCCAAGCAGTGGGATGAAAACAGACATAGTGTTGTCTAGGGTGTGGAAAAGAATAAGGCGATTATTTTAATAAAAGCAGTCTCACTTACCTTTGTCTTTGATACATAGAAATGTGTTGGAAATTTTATAATAGCAGTGATTTTGTTTCTAATACCTGAGGCTAAAGTTTTTTATTTTGTCAAGTGTTGCTATCAAAGTACTATAGCATCTTTTCCATTATTGTCCGTACTTTCAATGTTAAATTAATATTTCTGTCATCTGTTCATTCCAGAGGCAGGAATTGTCATATATAGCTTTGCAATAGAAGATTTTGTTACAATGAAGAAAATCTTTGACTTTAAAGAATTAATTATATATCTGTCGTTTGAAAGGATTGAGATGGCTTTCAATAAAAGCTAATATATAATTAAAAATTGAAATATATAATCGGGTCCAAGGAAAGGAAAAAAAAAAGTAGACTTCCACAAAGATCAGTTTAGTTGTATTTCAGCACCACTATTATTCTCTTTCTTTTTTTTTAATATTGTGTTTTAGCTGCAAGTTCACAAAGCTAATTAGATTCCCATTTTGCAAGTTTTATACGAATTGTGACATTGGTTACAGTTTTCACTGTGTGTCAGCATTCTCATTATTTCTATTCTGTGTTTTCTGTTTCCATTGATACAGCTTCCCTTCCTCTCTTTGCCATGTCATCTTTGCTTTGGGGTAAATGTAGAATGTTTGATCTCATATAGTCACCAGTTTAAAGGAGCACATTACTCATGGGTGATAATATTTTGTAAATCATTTTATTGTTTGGTTGAAAGCTGACCTCCAGGTAGAGCTTCAAAGCCAAGTTGAAAGGGTGTAGGGTGTCTTAGGACAATCATCTCAAGGGTTCCTCTTGTCTATCAGTGCAATAACTCTGGCCTTTTAAGGAATTTGAAGTTAGTTCAACAGTTTTCTCCCATTGTATCCAGGACTTGTCTTGTGTCCCTTGGTCAGCATCATTTTTGACTCTCTAGTTTCTAGCAACTAATGTAAAAAGAAAGAAAATTCCACCAATGTCATAAACCTCAGTACTAGAAAGTATTAATAGTAAACTTCATGTTTTATTGTAGCATCTTAAATAAAGCCCTAACTTAACATAAAAACACAGTTTGGTACAGTTCATTCCCCCAGACTTTCATTTGCTTCATAACTACCGGAGACTTTACTAAACCTAGTTCTCTGTCTTCGACACATCGTACTATGTGGCTGCCTAAGTCCTTTCTAGAAAAAAAGATTATAATCAGTCATTACTTTTGATTAGAAGTTTCCAGTGATTTCTTCATTTGTCAGGGTTCAATCATGACACAGAATGCACTCCAGTTACTTGGTCAGAGAATTTAACATAAAAATTGTTAGCAAAGTATATAAAATTAACTGTTATCCTGGAATAGTAAAATAGTTAAGAAAACTGCAAATTGAATTTAGCATTTGATATGTAAAGGAAGGCATCCTGGCATGGTGCTGTGGGTTAATGGCGCTGGACTGTAAAGTCTGTTTGAACCACAAGGTCAGTGGTTCAACTTTGCCTGCTGCTTCTTGGAAACCCTAAACAGAGTCACTATAGGTCGAAACCAGCTCAACGGCACTTAACAACAATGTGAAAAAAAATGCTTCTACCTAGTTTAAGAATTGTTACTTGGGATGGCTCAGGAAAGAAAAGCACACCAGAAAAAACAGAAAGGAGCAGGTCCCTTCCTTCTTAACCTTGTAGTCTGCCTCTAATGCCGCTTAATGACAGAACCTAAGAGGGGGCCAGTTGGTAAAGAAGAAAAGTAGTTTGTGCAGCCAAAAGACAATAACTTACTAAATGTAAGTGTACACTCTACAAATTATTTATGAATCTCTTTTTCTCGTTTCCTCTTCCGCCTTTCTCTCCGCTGTTCCTTTGTCATCCTTTCTGGAGTATAGTGTGTACCTTCAGAGCTCACTTTTTTTTGCCTTATGCTGTTCACTCACTACCTGTGGCACTCTTCTGTCTTTGCATATCAGGTGAACTTTGGTTCATTCCTCAATGCTAAGCTCAGAAGTTACCTTATCTACGAAGCCCAGCTCCTCCTGATGTCATCAACTCCCTTTTTCAGCAATCCCAGCACATTTTTTGTTGTCTCTCTTACATTGCTTGCCATGTAGTGTGAGAATTTATTTCCATGTTTGTATGTGTTCTTTAGCAGTATTTCTCACATTGCATAAAAGGCCTATACATAAAATATTGTATACTACCAAATCCTAAATGAAATATGCTCACTTTCATAAGACAGATATTTTGGGGCATGTAATTTATTGATTCAATGATTTTTAAATAGTGTTTTGTTTTTGCCAGAGGTATGTATAAAAGTGAGTGGTGGGAAGGAGAAGGAAAGGTAGATTAGGATTTAACTGAAAACACAAAGGGACTAGCTTAGAATAATTGAAATGTAGATATTGTAAGCCCCATGGAGCTGAAACTCAAATCTCTACAAACGGAAGTGCTGCTCAGCTTGCTTTCATATTGACTATATAATTCTCCATGAAAACTTCTGTTTAAAAGATTGTAGTTGTACTTTTAAAATATATTCAAAGAAAGTTTGATATAATTCAGTGTGCAACATAGGCCCATACCAGTAAAATTAATTAGCACATAAATGATTACTAATAAAATTATAAATTATATGTTTAACTCCCCCCACCCCCACCCCCAAGCACAATCTTATGACCTTTTAGCTAATGGTGGTGCAGTTTCTGTTTGTACAAAGCCTTTATTTGTTGCCAATTAATTCTAAATTCAGCTCCTGATGTTATATATGACAGCATTTTATCCATCTTGAGTTCAATTATATTTATGTTGCTTATTTATTGTTATTTTTAGATGAAACACAAAGAGAAGGTGAGGCTATAGAATTGTCTTAATAGTTTACTTTTGATTACTGACCTTTTTATGGTTTTGCTTTGTTTTTGCTGCCTATAGCTGCTGGTTTTTACTGTAAGTATTCTGTTGCTCATGTTTGTATATAGTTTTTCATTTTTAAAAAGTCAAATGATATGGGATTAATCAAGTGCCATGCAAAGCTCTTCTATCCACTTACAAAGTAGCCAGTGTTAATTGGCATGTCCTTAGTCATTTTCTTTGAATATGTTCCTTTTATGCATATATAAAATCCGGGTAGTCATACTTTTCTACATCTTCTGAAAAAGTTTTTGTAATTTTGACCTAATGCAAAATAAGTCCTAAGAGAATTCAGTGTGTCTAAAAGGAATGTGAAACTGATTTTTTCTTATTTGTTTTCTGAGTCACCATATAGAATGTTTGCTTACCTTTTGTTATATGATTTCACCAACCTTTTATTTGATTTATTTTATGTAGTAGACTTCACATTCCTTTCTGTAATGCACGTCTGGATTATTTTGACTAATTTTTCAATTGTAAAGAAACGTATTGTTTTTATTATTCAAATAATATTTAAAGGATAGACAACAGAAGTCTCTACTCCCAGAATTCTCATTATTGTTAACTTGTCAAGTCACCCCCAACTCGTGGCAACCCTACACACAATGGGGTGGGACCATTTTGATCTATAGGATTTTCATTGGCTGATTTTTTTTTTAAGTGAATTGCCAGGCTTTTCTTTGCAGTCTGTCATAGTGAAAGTTGTTGCGCATCATAGCAATGCATAATGGACAGGTAATATTTGGGCTTGAGGAATTGGCCAAGAATTGAGCATAGGTCTCCTGAATGGAAGGCAAGACCAGCAGTACAGAACCAGCACTGTTCCCTCCCCCGAATTAACAACTTTTAAATTATTCATATATCCTTGAAGTTTCAGTGTACATACGATGTGTGTACTAGTCTCCTCTTCCCAAGAGATGCTCTACTTTTCTGCCACCATTTCACATAGCAATTGACTTTGAATGCTTTCTTGTATCAGGATATTCTACCAAATTTTTTAAAACAGCTGTTAATATTCCATTTAACTTCAGACTCCCATATTAATCAGCATTTACAGAGTTGCCTAAACCACTGTGTTGACATATCTTTGCATGCTTTATACAAAGGCTTTGCATTATTATTATATTTTTTTATTTTATCAATAAAAATTTTATGGAAATTTATTTTCTCTCTTATTCTATAAGTACCTACAAAATACTGCCTTTTGACGTGCTGTTTGGTCTTCTGTAGAACAAGTTCACCGATCCCTAATGTATATCATTATGCTATTATTCTATGTTTTCTTTGTGGCAAACTGTCCAGATTGACTTATTTACTTGATATTCTGTTTTCTTTCAACCACCTGACACTCAAATTTAAGCAAATCCCCTGAGAGCAGGGATCTTGTCTTATCTCATTTATCATTATATTCTTACTTGAACACACTGGTTGGCACTCAATAAACATTTGTTTAGTGCTTAGCAGTTTAAAGCAGACTAAAACAACAGTGTAGTTTTAAAATTTATTTTAAATACCTAAAATTTTCTCCCATTATTTATGTAATGTCAAAGTCAATATGTGTGTCTTTCAGATATATATGTATTTCAGTTTACTCATACAAGGTTATAGTTAATACTCTAGAAATTATGTCTTTGGATTAAAAGTCTAGTTAGCTGAGATTCCTATTGAATTATTTTACATTGTATATAAGAATTTTATTAATGAAATATGAGTCCTAAGAGTAGATCTGAATCATAAGCACAAATGCTGTACTCCTCCAATATTTTGAAATGTCTCTTTTTCCCTATTGGGTTATATTCCTATGTGTTTTAGCTTCATGC